GAGAGAGAGAGAGAGAGAGAGAGAGAGAGAGAAAGTCAAAAGGAAGTAGGAACGTAGACATAAAATAAACAGGCAAACACTTTCAGCAGTCGACTTTCAGACAGTGAGATAGAAACACAAACAGACAGAATAATACATTACAGAAAAACGAGAGGGGAAGATGCTACTTGATAAATATAAATAACTGATTTGTAAAATAAGTAGAAGATATTTTTTTCTTAATGTTGACTGATACTGTCATCTGCACTACCACTTCTTTTGTTCTATAATTGCCATTTCATAAATGTTATTCATATAGAGGGATTTATACCTATCTTTTATACTAGTATTCAACTTTGATTTAGAAGGATTCAAGGATCACGTATTGAAGCTTTTCTCAAAGCAAAGGCTGACAGGAGCATTCAAGTAAAGGTGTTACTAGAATATATAAATCAAAACACGCTAAAGGGTGAGATGCATTCTACGCAACAATAAAAAAAAAGACCCCAACAACTAACTATTCACTGAAAATATCATCATCTTTGGTGTTACAGTTAGATCCATCGCATTTGCACGTAGAAGAGGTGAGTTCGATTCGGGTAAGCACTATAATAGAATATTATTATCTCCGCCTGTCTCTTTGAAAGCTTTTCTCAACCCAGATTGACCCTGACGCTGACAGACGGGGTGGAAGCTGCAAGCCTCTTAAATTGTAAACTTTGTCCATGGAGGCACAGTCCAATACATTACTATTATAGCAACTGCAATTTTGCAAAATTAGTTCCATTTTTAAAAAAATGTCCTTTGCCACTAGTCACAAACTAGGACCAAACGAAATGATAAGGGTGGGGCGCGACGATCAAGACCGCTGTCGCCCTGTATTCTATTTTTTAAAGCTGTAAAAACTTACATTTATTTTGGGCAAATAATGCAATTTTAAGTAAACATTAATATTGTGGTGGAACACAGAACTTGCTTGCATTTTGTTTGCCTGTTCATGTGTCTGCGAGTGAGTCAGCAAGTTTGTGTATGTGTATCTGTATGTGAATGTGTATGTGTATACATTTTGTATGTGTGCATCTCTTGAGAGAGAGAGAGAGAGAGAGAGAGAGAGAGAGAGAGAGAGAGAGAGAGAGAGAGAGAGAGAGAGAGATAT